TAGGGATTTCGTGCAGAACACGAAGCGCGACAGCCAAAGGGCTAGAAACGCGATGTGCTCCACATCAGTCACCACAATCGTCGATTTGTCATGGTAATGGTTGGTGTAGGTGGTATAAGTGGGTTTGGTGGCAGAAAACCCAATCTAGTCTTCAGACATTTCCTCTGGGTCGAAGTAGTCCCCAGTTGGTCGAAGACCAGTAATAGCGGCCACGTCGAAGAGAGTGGGCATTACCATTCCACAAGGCAAGTGGAAGGTATAGTGAGTATAGTCCCAAAACAGCAAAGAAGCTACCAGCATTTCAGGACAGTAGTTAAGACCAGTTTTGGACAACATGACTAGGTCATAAATCCCCATGCCTTTCCAAATCGAAGCCTGGCACTTCTCCATCTTGTTGAGCCAAGCGTTGTATTCTGGTGTAAGGTTAGGGCTAGACCTAAAAGCCCTAACCCCCTGTTAAAAAACTGAAGATCTATTTTCTCTTTTGCAGGATCTTCGGTATCATTCGTCGCCTTCTTTGAGCACCCAATGGGTTTGAGTGCCTCATGCACGGGGAAGAAACCCTCGATTTTCGTTAGGTCAGCAATGCATGTTGAAAGAGGACCTGACATGGCAAAAACCTGGTTGGAATACCCAATAGGAATCAGCAATTGAGAACCATAAGTTTCACGCTCAGCGTCTCCCATGGGTTCAGGAACCCTTCGCATTCCCATGGAGTTAACTATCGGAGCGGTTGAGAAGATTTCCGGTTGAGTAGTTTTAGAGGGAGTGCTAGATCTGGGGACATTGGAAGCATGAGTACATGAAGCCATTTTTTTGGTTTGAGATGAAGATGGATGAAGATAAAGAACAAAGATTACTGGGTTTAGAGAGGAAGAAGCAGAGGTTTACTTGCAGAAAATTTCGTTCGACTGAAGATTTGGATGCAAGAAAGCGTAAAGAGTCCAACAGAGGCACTTAATGCTATTTATAGTGATTGAAAAATCACAAGGCTCGAGGTTATTTAATGCCACAGATAAGAGTGGGGCACGTGGCACTCATTTGGTGCTGTAACCGTTCTGAAGAACGGAAATGTTGCAGCGTGCATCCTCGATTTCGGGAAATGGTCATGATGACGACATTTGAAAGGACATCGTGCGTGCAAAAATGCCTTACTGAAGTGACGTCTTGGGAAAAGGTGAAATGATGACTTTTTGAGATTGTCAGTTGGTTGGTAGGAGATGAAAAGCACACAAACTAATTTGTGGCTGAGAATGAAGGACATGTGTCGAATGGAATCTCAAAGAATGCCTTTTTCTTTTCAGTGTCGAAATAAGACATTCTTGGGGGGCAATTTGTTGGCTCCTAAATTCGACACCCATGTTTATTATCATATAGACCATTAATTATGAGTCAGAAGAGTTTCCTACATAAGAAGGCTTCGACCAACTGATCATGTCGAAGGCTCATCAAAGAATGACAAGATACTTAGAGAAATTCCTTTAAGTTAGAATCTTGTTGTCTTCGACGTCGAAGGAACCTCTCGACAAAGGTCCCTGATGCCCAAGGTCGAACGGTTTGAGATTTGAATTGTTGGAGGGAAAACGGTTCGCAGCAGTTACCAAGTGCAACGTGTCGAGAACATAGGCGTCGAAGATTGTGAGCGTGCCATGTGGCATCATCTCGAAGCAGTGTAACTGCCCAGCGGTTACTTAGGATTTTTCTTAGTATAAATACTAAGTTTTTATGTAGTTATTAGGGTGTTCATCCTTTTATACAAGTCACTCATTTAGATTCAAGTACCCAGCGTGAGAGAAAGAATCATTGAGAATGCATGTGTGAAACACCATTTAAATTAATCAAAATCTTTTATATTCAAGCAATTTACCGTTGTTCATTTATTTACTTCCGTCGAAGCCTTTTATTTAACAATTCCTTAACGCTTTTATTTATTCTATCAAGCTTTTATCCATGCAATTTACTTAAAGTATCTTTACTTTACTGGCATTAATCACCATTAGGATTAGTCAAACTCCAAAAATCAACCATGTCTTAGGATCAATCTGATCGATCCTGCGAGTCACTAAATAAGTAACCTTTTGGAAGATCAGCGGTTGTTTACCATTTTTCCCGTTAAACACTATCTTCAATACATGAACAACAACATGAACAATCAATTTGCTCATCTCTATGCCCATACCAATGTCCCTCCTTATGAAGCTCAACCTTATCATTATCCTTTCATTCAACCTCAAACCAATGAAGGCAATGATGGTGAAGATCAAGATGATGAAGACCTTGTTGAAGGCATGGATGATTAGTTTTTAAGTTATTATATTTCTTAGTACTTTATGTTCTTATGTTTTATGTCGCTTTTCTAGTTTCGTTTAAGACATTTCATGTATTGTGATCCTTTTTGTTTTGTGCACTTTGTTTCTGTTATATCTATGTATGCAAACTTTATTTATGCTATGTTGTTTCTTTGTGCAAAATTTTATGATCGTCTTTCCCATTCCTTTTTGCTAATGACAAAGGGGGAGAAGACTTTGTAGTTTCTTTTGTGTTTCTCTAACCCAAATTGCAGCAAGCAAGCAATCTTCAAAAAACCCTCATGCAATAGATCAAGGGGGAGTCTTTGACTTAGGGGGAGTTTTTTAAACAACTTGATTAGAGAAAACCAAGATGCACTCCAAACTTCAAGCAATGGTTGTCATCATCAAAAAAGGGGAGACTGTGAAATCAAGCTTTCCAAATGTTTTGACGAAGACAAGCTAGCATGCAAAAATGAATGGATCAAGATAGAAGATTTATCTCAAGCAAGATTCATTAATCAAGATCAACTTTTCAAGACTTATGACTTAAGGTATATGAAATTTTTGATCTTATGCTCTTAGTGCTCAAAACTATTTTTAGTCATGCATTTACTTTATTAAAATAATATTTTAAGTATATACTATGTATGATTGAAGAAGGATGTTTTAAATTGCTTAAAATCTTTGAAAATAATGATTTTTCAATTTTTGTACACAAGCAATCGATTGTCATGCTAGGACAATCAGTTGCATCCAAAAAACAAAAGCTTCTGTTTGACATACAATCGATTGTCATCTAGCAGCAATCGATTGTCATGTGTTTTATTTTCAAATTTTTTGAACGTTGGCCTATGAGCAATCGATTGCTCCTCAATGACAATCGGTTGTCATAGTTATATTTTTCAAATTTTTTAAACGTTTTTCTTTTACAACAATAAGTTGTTGCTTTAGTGCAACCGATTGTTGTGCCTTAAATTTTGAAAAAAATTATTTTTCCAGCAACTTTTTGTAACACCTTTTCATGACAATCTTTGTATCTTTTCAAATACATTCTTTTAGTAAAAATGGTTTAAACATTGCTATGTTTCATTGAAGAGGCATTACTACACTATAAATTATTTTTGTTTAGAATTTTGAAAATATAACAACAATCACTAACAACTATTACTTTCTATTCTTTTGATCATACTCTCTATACTCAAGATTTTTGTTCATCATTTTCATATGCATACTGAAAAATGTTCTTGAGCACTTAGAAGAATATTCCATCTTAAATTTCATATTGAATAGAAAAGATCATTCAAGTGATTGACATTGCTCTTTCATTATTCAAACTCTTATACAAATCAAACAAACTATTGTATACTTGTTTTCAGGATTGTTGGAAACAAGAAAGACACTTAGGAAGGATTGTTCTCCTTGTGGTCTTAGTGAAAATCCAAGAGGATTGTTCTTGGTTCAAGATGATTGTTCTTGGTTGTTTGGTAGTCTTTGTACAAATTACCAACTATAAGGAAATCTCTTTCATGTTGAAAGGGGACTGGAGTACTCTCGGACTATGAGGGGAACCAGGATACATCTGTGTTCTTTACTTTCCGCATTTACTGCTTTCATCACTTATCGGAAAAAGAAAGAAAAGAAACTCGTGCAAAAATATTCATACAATTCAGAAAAAGTTTTAAAGAACCTAATTCACCCCCCTCTTAGGCGCATTTGAACTTACATAAGTCACCACCCTTTCGCATAAGAGCAATAACTTGGGGGCTCCTGATCTGGACTGGGTCAACGCTTGCTCCACCGTTGGGGAGGCCCAATCCAACACCCTTGCATAAGGCTCAAAGACAAGCAACCCACGTTGGGGATCGTTGGGTAACTCCTCACGTGTCCGTTAGGGAAAGTGACCCACATGTCCGTATCACTGTCACTATAACTTTCCTCCGGAAATGACGAGTCCATCACCTATTCTCTCGGAACAGTTGACCAGGAAGGAACCCACATGCTAAACTCCATACACACGTAAGTCCTGTCAGTCTTCATTGTTGAGCTTCTTCGTGGTCCAACATTGGGGACCTTGACCCAACGCCGAGGACTATAAATACCTTCTCATTTGAGAGAGTCAAGTATTGATTCTTTAACTCACATACTCTCATACTTGCTATCACTCTCCCTGAATCTTACTTTAACATCAGAGTGTCTTGCAGGTACCCCCTCATCTCATCTCCAGCTGCTGTTCAACTCATAGTTCGTAGACTTTAACGATCTATTTTGATCAGGTACAATGAGATAATGTGATAAAATATTATTGTATTTTACATATTATTTGTAAAAAATGTTAATACCACGATACTTATGAAAAATCCTTAGGAGATGAATCATGATGTTGACATGTTTTAGTGTTATGAAAATTCTTGAGCAATTGAAATTGTTGTAGTATCGATTAAACACAAACATAAAAATATGGATGTATCAAATAAAATATTGGATTGAGTCTATGATTAGATCTCTAACAATTACTATGTAGAATAAATTATGATTGTCCATGATCTAGAATCCTTCTTCGCAGTGTTGTATCGGCAGCCACAAGTTAGTTACTAGTACTAGGACAGCTCCTCCGTTTTAATTAACAAGCATACGCAAAATAATATCCGTTTAAACAACCAACACTAGACCGCGATGGCAAAAACAAACCAGTAGCGCTAATCAAAGACGATGAAAACACTCTACTCTTCCTCTTACTCTTCTATATTACCATTATTACCATCAACAGTTCCATTTCATCATCAACAACAACACTTTCATCATTTTCGCTCCTTATCCTCATCCACTCTCTCTCTTAACGCTACTCCGCGCGATATCGAACTTCAATTCTCTTCCTCCAACGACACCGTTCAAAACCCTACGATCGAGTTTGAAACACCGCAACACAACGAAGAATCACCTCCTCCAACTCCACTTCTTCTCTCCGGTGAAGATAATAAAACCACTAATTCTAAGCTTAAAAAGAAGAAAGACCTAAACGAAGATAACAGTAGCAACTTCGATAACCGCTTCAAGCTCCGTAACGGAAAAGAGGTGACTGATTTTCAATTTCACTCTCTTCGATTTGATTCTTATCGTTTGCTTTATTTTTTAGGTTTTTGAAGAGAAAGCTTATCTGGTTGGTGTTGAGCGAAAAGGTGATGTGAGTGATTCTTTTGGTGTACAAGATTCTTTGAGTGAATTGAAACAGTTAGCTGATACTGCTGGATTGTTGGTTGTTGACTCTACATACCAGAAGTAAATTCTTTCTTATTCTTCATTTCTATATTTGATTGCTTATGAATTTATTTACTAACATGTCTCAAATAGTCTCGCAAGTGTTTATGCTACTAGATAACTTCAAAGTAGTTAATCCAAACATATATCTTATCTTATTATCATCTTCTAGTATAATTTTCCAAAATCTCTTTACATTGTGGTAAGACATTGAAAACATTCCCGTTAACTCATCTCAATTGATAGCTGTGCAGAAATATCTGATGCAAACCTTTTTTAAGGTGGAACTCCAACCACCAGGCTACTTGATAAAACTTCTCCAAAAAAAAGACATTGAAAACATTGAAGTATAATTGGATATTATACGTGTAAAAATCAATTATACTGTTAGCTTGAATTGTTGGTGTATAGTTATTGGACTCTTCTAGTGTTGTTTATCGTCCTGCAATTGGATTCAACTTTCTTTTAGGCTATATGATATTGTTGTTGGTGTATCTCATTGCTTAAGTTTATGATTTTTCTTATTTTAATAGAACATTGCATGTTCATGCTTGCGTTTGTGTCAGTGTTGTTAAATATCGGTTATATCGCCGATATACTGGTTTTTCATATCGGAATTTGGCTATTCGATACGAAAGACGATATTCCGTTTCAATTTCGCTACGCTCAACATATTGGCCGTTTTTCCGGTATAACGGTTTTGAATTTGATATCGGAATTAATATTATTATGATCATTTTTATAATAAGTCATATTAAAAAATATTTAAAAATATAGAAGGTGAAGAGGTGGAATAAAAAAATAGCCTGGGAAGAGGTGCACATTAATAAATAGTAGGCTGTGAAGAGGTGCACAGTAATAAAGTAGAATGTGAAGAGGTGGAGTATTAATAAAGTGGAAATGTGAAGAGGAGTGGTGGGTATTATTAACATATTCTGAATGCTAGTCTCGAAAATAGAAGAAAGAGAATGTGAAAAGGTGTAATATTAATGAGTTGGTGTGATTATTTATATGAGTCAGAGTGCCTCCATCGCCATTTCTCTTCATTTTATTCATTCTTCTCATTCTGAAATTAAGGATAATGATTATGTCGGAAATGGAGAATAATTAGATCTTTATCACTAGTTATGCTTAGAAGAACTATTAGTTATTACTTACTTTGAAGTTTGAACAATTTAATTTTGAGTTTTAAGTCATTTTGATTTTGAAGTTTGAACTACTTAGTTGTTAGAACTTGAGATTTTTAGATTAATGTTAGTAAACTTTTTTAATATTTGTTTATGTTAGAAGCTTTTATATGTGTGTGGTATGTTTTGTTTTATATATAATTATTTATTTTAACTACTTTGCGGTTTCCGCCATTTGCCCGCTACGATATCCGATATTTCTCATATCGGTTTTTTGGTGATCCGATTTTTTTGCGATCCGCTATTAACAACACTGGTTTGTGTACATTGCTTTATATGTAATTTGCCTTCTTTCCCACTATCTTTTTATTTTATTTTTTGTGCATTTGAAGAATCTGAGAATCAAACTGTGTCCTAATAATGATGGAGATAATAGACCATAGTTGCCGGTTAATATGCCATAATGCCACATTTTTCCTCAGACTCCTCTCTTTCTTCATGGTGACGATGATAACTAGTTGAAGCTTTCATTAAAGCTGCCATTGCTTTGAATTACTTGATATTGTTTACAGGACATAACTAGGATTAACATCTTTCTTCTCTTTGAGACATTTGCGTTGCTCGATACATATGTCTCAGTTCCCTTTTTTCTTCTGCTGTTGGGATTTGGGACAACATATTTTCACTTGACTCAGTTTCAGAGTTAATCTAAATGGTACAGGCTTGCTTCTCCAAACCCTAGGACTTACATTGGCTCCGGCAAAGTTTCTGAAATTAAGAGTGCAATTAATGCATTGGATGTTGAAACTGTGATATTTGATGATGAGCTATCAGCAGGGTAAGGGGCCTTTTTTCTGGGTCTCATATTTATGCTACGCTATCCAACTGCATACTTCATGTTATGACTATTTTTTCCTATACTACCGTTTTGTTGTTGACATTTGACTACTTCATTTATTGAAAGTGGTTTGTCTTCCAAACTGACCACAACATTTTCAACAAAAAAAAATACATATTGATTTTTTGCTAGCTTTGATTTGAGATAATTGAAACCATAAGAACCAGGTTGCTTAAGAGGTTCAGTTTGAAAATTTGGTTTCCAATATAATTGAGTATGATGACTTGGAAACTTTGATGTAAGATGGTTGTGAGGCAGCTTAGACTATGCTGTATATTTGTTATTATTTTCCTGTATTCTTTTACAGTTCCAGGTTGTTCTGCATTGCATTATGTTGGCCCACTACTTCACCATAAATGAATACTTTATTATAGTCGCATTGTTGTATAAGGAATACCATTCTGAATCTCACATGAAATTATTGGTCCATGCTAAATATAGGCAATTGCGCAACCTGGAAAAGGTTTTTGGTGGCAGTGTGAGAGTTTGTGATCGTACTGCTCTCATCCTTGATATATTTAATCAGCGAGCAGCAACTCATGAAGCATCTTTACAGGCAATTATAAATTTAAAGGAGGTTTTCCAGTATCTTTTGTTTATAATAGGTTATCACTAATCAGTATCGCGAATAACTATTGATCAATATTTGGTTATGTAATTGTAATCCACTTGATTGACATATAATGCAAAAGAGGACTTCTCTATGGGGTTTTATGTCTTCACTTATTTCAATTTTAATCAGAATTAATTGATCATTTTCTGCAAAAAAGTCATTATAATTTTTATTTTGTTTTGAAATGTAAGATATTTTAGATTTGGGTTGAGTAAAATAATAAAGTTTGAAAGTCGAGTATGGATAAAAATGATGTTTTGTATTTATATTTCAATTTAAGTGGGGCATGTTGCTAAATATTAGCCAATATTTTTCCTAGAGGTACTGATACCCTTAGAATAGCAGAAGGTATTGATGAAAATCTCCAAAATACACACATATACTTACTTCATGTTATTACCAGAACAACAAATTTGACTAATAGGAGAAATTTAGACCTCTATTCTGATAATTCTATTTTCTTTTTTGTTTCTAGGTTTCATTAGCACAAATGGAATACCAACTACCTCGTCTAACAAAAATGTGGACTCATCTTGAGCGTCAATCAGGAGGACAGGTGAAGGGAATGGGTGAAAAACAAATAGAAGTGGACAAGCGTATTTTGCGTAACCAAGTAAGCAGAGTAGTATCTGATTATTGTCAATATGAGTGGCTACAAAAATCAACTTCATTTGATTGGTTTAGTGTGATTATGCTAGTGCAATATTGTGATGGTAACTTACCAGTTTCATACATTATGCACGAGCTTTGACAGATTGGCGTTCTTAAAAAAGAGCTAGAATCTGTTAGGAAACACCGAAAGCAGTATCGTAATAGGCGTGTCTCAGTACCTGTGCCAGTGGTTTCTTTGGTTAGTTTTCTAACATTTATATCGAGGCCATTTTTTTAGACAGATATTGCATATGCATTATTGTAATGTATTCTGTATAAGATGATGGTATATGTTTATTTGCCATCATTTTAGGTCGGCTATACGAATGCTGGTAAGAGTACACTTTTAAATCAGTTAACCGGAGCAGATGTTCTTGCCGAGGATAAATTATTTGCAACTTTAGATCCAACTACACGGAGGGTACAGGTCAGTCAAAATTTTACATGGATAATTTCAAATTTTTATTCACAACCTATACATTATGTTCATTGTTGAATGCTTTCAACTATTGCAAATGTGCTTCTAATATGTAATGAGACTCTAGTACCAGCTTCTATTGTTTTTCTTAATAAAGAACCTGTTCAAGAACTTATACCAGCATTTACTTTGCAGCTGTCATTTCCTATGTTTACAGTGGGCCCTTGGCTGTAGGATGTCTAAAATTAGTTGTTAATGATGTTTTTAAGTTATCATGCAATAAATTCAGTCTTGTGCGGGTTGAATTATAGGTATCTTAACATGCTGTGCTTTGTTTATATCTTTCGTCAGATGAAGAATGGAAAGGAGTTTCTCCTAACAGACACTGTTGGTTTTATTCAGAAGTTACCTACTACACTAGTAAGAAAGATACCTCTGTTAATATTTATTTTGCTTTGGGTTTTATACAATTGATATCTCATATTATTTTTTGACATGATTTACAATCAAATTAACATGTTTCCATTTGAACTTAACCCAAATTATTAAATAATTCCTCAAAATTGTCATTTTTTCTGCTTTCTGTAGGTTGCTGCCTTCAGAGCCACCCTCGAGGAAATATCAGAGTCATCACTTCTGGTGCATGTTGTTGATATCAGGTTATATATCAGTAATAGTTCTGGGAGTCATTTTATTGGTAGAGGGAGAAAATTTAGAAGAAATAGATAACTACTTGTTGACTTACAACATATCTCATCTGTCATCAATTATTTTTTTGAATTGCAGTCACCCCCTGGTTGAGCAACAGATAAATGCTGTGGACAAAGTTCTATCAGAACTAGATGTATCATCAATACCAAGATTGATGGTCTGGAACAAGGTATTAGGAGAATGGTTTTGTTGGTTTTCTGTCACATAACTGTTGCAGTTTGTCTTTCAAATTTTATAAGGAGTTCATTTATTTATTTATTTATTGATGCATTCCATGAAAAATATAATGATATCCTTGTCAACTCCAATTTATTTCTATTAACATTATCAGAATCTCAATAACATCATAATTTGGGATGAAATTAAGCCCACTTATGTGAAGGACTTCAACAGTGAAATGCGGAGTTGCCAAATAATTTATTTAGATTATTCTAGCCAAAAGTCTATTCATTTTCTACAAAACCAATAGCTTAAGTGTGATCAAGAGTTTGATCACTGTCATCCCTCATTCTAAACTGTAAAAGCAAATCAGCAGAAGATAGATGGATCCATGTATTGTCCTTGTTTCAAACCAAAAGGGTTTGTGTGAGAGGATATGTTATAACAATAAACCACTGACACACCTATAACGTCTACAGTAGTTGGTCTGTGAGGGTATATACGAGGGAATATGGCTTTTAATCTCAAAATGTTTTCCATTCTAGGATTTTTATGCATCGTTACTTTTTATAATATCATATCGTATAAGACCATCATTATTTTATATTGGGGAGTAATCATAATGCTTTAAAATCGATTCCTGGATTATGTACTGCTTTTGGTTCAAAATTGGCTGTCATTTTAATCTTGTTCATCAGTTTCTCACAAAAGTGAAATTCTTCTCTTAAAAATTAGACTATGACGTGTTCTCCTATTGCTTTTGCTGTTAGTTACTCTGTTAGTTCTTTAGGACGACTGCGATATGTTTTTCCCTTTATTAACAAGCTTTACTGCACACTTGAAGTTTAACTGTTACAACATGAACTCCAGTTTGAACATTCTGGCATGTCTCTTTCTTATGACAGATTGATAAGGCTAGTGATCCTCAGAAAATCAGGTTAGAAGCTGAAAAAAGAAATGATGTTGTATGCATATCTGCTTTAAGTGGCGATGGCTTGCAAGAATTCTGTAATGCAGTTCAAGACAAACTAAAGGTACAAAGTTGGAGCCAGTCTTGATATAATTTAAATGTGCTTTTTTGTCTTTCCATATCATGTATTCTATTGTTAGAACGATTTACATTTGTCAGCCAAAATTCTGTTACTCTCTAACAGGACACAATGGTATGGGTGGAAGCTTTGTTACCATTTGAAAACGGGGACCTTCTCAGCACCATACACCAAGTTGGAATGGTTGAGAAAACTGTAAGTAAAATACCTTTGTCCATTAATCAATTGCTACCCGTTGAGATTTTTTTTTTGGAATAACCATGTTTTAAAATTTTTTTTCGCAAATAACTATTTTTTGAAAAAAATTACGCAAATAACCATGTTTCAGATGACTCCCTAGAGGAGGAGTCATCTCACTTGGCGCCTACACCTACTTTTTAAGGGGAGGTGCCATCTCACTTGGCGCCTAGGTGCTTAGGACTTGCCCTAAGCCAAGTGAGATGGCGCCTTAGTGCATTTGCTAGGGCAATTTTCGTGTTTTTTTTCTTCAATGCGGTGCGTTACGTATTCGATATAGGATCAACAAAATTGACTTTTTATTTACAAAATATGATTACACACATAAGTATTACATAAAAAAAAAAAGATTAATCAGTGGTCCCCCGGAACCCGGTAATGACCCCCCGGTTCTGCATCCCCGTCCTCGCCTTTCCCGTGCTGGGTTTCGTCGCGTTTCCTGCTGTGGCAGGGTCGATGGCCCAACGAAGTCAATGCGTTCCAGATCCATGAAATCAGTCAGATCTCCATATCTAGAAGATCCTTTTTGGTACAGTCGATTACCCATACCCTCAAAGTTTGGTCGTGTTGGAGGTGGGTGGGGTTCCATTGTTGGTCTGTAGCATTGGTCGTTTGAGTACGGGGTAGTGAGTACGGGGTAGAAAAGAAATGGATCTTGAGGTGTTTGGTATTGAGGATGTTGGTGGTTTGGTGATATTGTGGTTGATAGTAAGTTGAGTCGGTTGATTCATAATCTTCCGACATTCCCAGATCAGGGTTAAGGTTGGATGTTGAGGAGCCCATATTGGGATATGCAGAAGACTGAAATTGTGTGTGGGGTATGCAGGTGTGTTGGTATTGTGATTGAAATTGCGGTTGGGTGTGAGGCATATGGGGGTATTGGTACTGAGGTGGTGATTGTGGTTGGTTGTGAGGCATGTGGGTGTAATTGTATTGTGGTGGTGACTGTGGTTGGGTGTTTGTGATTCTGTTTCGTCTGGGGGTTGGTGGGAGGTTGACGTGTGTTGGGTTTGTTGTTGGGGAAATGAGGGTTGTGCCCATTGTGTTTGTGGGTCAATCAAATACCTTGGATGAAACACGTGCATTTCAGGGGTACTAACCGATCTGTACCAAGATAAATACTAATCCGTGTGTCGCATATTACCATGATTGAGTAAAACAGGGAATTGCAAGACATGTCGGTGACGCCTCTGCCACATCTTACACCATTCTGGAGCAAAGTATTTCCAGTTGGTAAGACCCCATTGGGCGTCGACCCTTTTGAGATGCCACGAGGACAAACAAGTCGGATTGTTGGGTATCTCTTGATGCATTCCAAACCGCATCTTCACACGGTCGCTTTGATGCATCTCCACAACATTGAACCGTATGATTGCAGTCTTGGCGCTCTAAATTGCTGCATCCTCGGGGTTTGGTTCATGGTCCAAACCTAAATATGGTCTTCAGACAAACTGCAAATTAAAATTAAATCAGGCTAATGAAAACGAAATATATAAATAATTTAAAAGTAGAAAAGTTAAAAGGTACGACGTACATCATCTGGGCCAAGGTGGTCCAATAGATTGCGGTATAGTGCGACATTGAATCTTGGATTCTTGTCGTAATCCATACCCCTCACGCAATACCTAAAGGAAATGAAAAATATTTTATTTTTATCATATATTTGGTGAAGCGATGAATAGTAATAAATGATATAACTTGATGACTTACTTTGTTGCGTATGGGAAAACGAATGTGTTGTTGTTGACGGGATTTAGGGACTCCATCCTCCACTAACCCCATGCTTGAAGTAAAAAAGGCAACCATAAAATGTACATTTTTCCTTGATTGCATTTTTACACAAGGAACTGTATAGGTGGACTAAAACAGCAGAACCTCAACTATACTTTCTAGTTTTTTCGAAGTCTCTAAGTAAATTTAAATACATAAAATTTACACTATTTCCCGTATTTTCGGGAAATAAAAAGGTTCCAAATAGTATCATTATATAAGTTCTAGCTTTTATTACCTTGGCTAGCTCGGAGGAATTTTCGTTTAATTTCAGAGTCGCATAATGATTTTTTAGCTCAGTTAGTAGTATACCCTGACCTCTCGCACCACCACCTTCAACCATATCTCTGCCCAACAATTCTTCACACAGAGAATTGGGTTGTTGAACCGACCCGTTAACTGCCTTACCGTCGACAAGGAGACCCAATAACATGTACACGTCCTCTAGCGTGACGGTACATTCACTTATTGATATGTGAAATGTATGGGTCTCTGGTCTCCATTTTTTCAACATTGCAAGTATGAACTTTGAATCAATTGTGCAGTTTGAGATCTTTATAACGTGTCTGAAACCTGCGTATTCTAGATATGGTACGATTAATGGGTCGGGAGCAAGGTAGTTGTGTGATCGGATTCTGAATCTTTTGGTATCCTAAGTTAATAATGTAAAAGGTGTAAGAGTAAGTAAGATGAACAAAACATTATCAGAAGTATGAAAAATGTATAACTAAAAGAAACTTACAAATGCTGCAATGTTGTCCCTTGTGCCTCTGTGAGAATCGCCCATTGTGAGAAGAACTATTGTTGAAAATGCCTGAGATTATGAAAGAGTTTGAAATTGTAAGAGATTGTGAAAGAGTTTGTAACAGAGAGTGAGACGATTGTGGGTGCGAGAGAAATATGTTATGCTCTGTATTTATAGGCAAAAAAATTTCATAGAGTAAGTGAGGTGGTAGGTGGGTGCATGCATGCATGATAAGTGTCACTCTTGCAGTGTAGGCGCAGGCTACGTGGTAGCCTTGGAGAAGACATCTCTGCATGCATGTAACACGATTGGACGTGAAGGGAGGCGCCATTGGACTTGGCGAAAGAGTACAAAAATGAAAGGTGTCGCCATCCCTGTTGGCAAATAAGAGGTGGCATGGGTTGCAGAGTAGGCGCAGACTAGGTGACACTCTGAATGTATGTAACACTATTGGACGTGATGGGAGGAGCCTTAGAGGTTACAGTGTAGGTGCAGACTAAGCGGCAGGCTAGGTGGCAGCCTTGAAGAAGGCATCTCTGAATACATGTAACACTATTGGACATGAATGAAGGCGTCATTGGACTTGGCGAAAGAGTACAAAAATGAAAGGTGTCGCCATCCCCATTGGCGAATAAGAGGTGACATGGGTTGCAGAATAAGCGCAGGCTAGGTGACAGCCTTGGAGAAGGCAACTCTGAATGCATGTAACACTATTGGAGGTGATAAGAGGAGCCTTAGAGGTTACAATGTAGGTGCAGAGTAGGCGCATGCTAGGTGGGCAGCCTTGGAGAAGACATCTCTGAATGCATGTAACATTATTGGACATGGATGGAGGCGCCATTAGACTTGGCGAAAGAGTATAAAAATAAAAGGTGTCGCCATCCCTGTTGGAGAATAAGAGGTGACATGGGTTGCAGAGTAAGCGCAAGCTAGATGACAGCCTTGGAGAAGACATCTCTGAATGCATGTAACACTATTGGACGTGATGAGAGGAGTCTTAAAGGTTACAGTGTAGGTGCAGACTAAGCGGCAGACTAGGTGGCAGCCTTGGAGAAGACATCTCTGAATGCATGTAACACTATTGTACATGAATGGAGGCACCATTGGACTTGGCGAAAGAGTATAAAAATGAAAGGTGTCGCCATCCCCATTGACGAATAAGAGGTGGCATGAGTTGCAGAGTAGGCGCATACTAGGTGACAGCCTTGGAGAAGGCATCTCTGAATGCATGTAACACTATTGGACGTGATGGGAGGAGCCTTAGAGGTTACAACCTTGATTAATTCAAATTCAGTATGACCTATATAGTTATATTTATCAAAACACTTATTCACTTAATCTCTCAAACACTAGAACATTCAAAAATTTATGCAAATAACTCATAAACTTCAAACCTTCCAACCTTAAAACTTTCAAACAGTCATACGCAATGGCCTCTGCATCCCAATATGTCATCATGCACATTTCAACGGTGAGACATACATTTGTCCCACCTCTGGGTTTTTGTTTAGAGACACAGACAACATCCGATTTTGTTTAAACAGGAAAGCCAATTTCTTGTACTTCAAAAAACGATTGGAGGCCAAACTTGGACGAGGTCCCGTGACACAATTTTATCAGAATCCGATTTTTTTGGTAACAACCAAATAATATTTTATATGGTTGAGATTTAAGATGACGAGGATCTTCAGAATATGTTTTCCAGTCATATTCTGGGTACAACTCTATTGAGTTGTACATTATGCTGCGAGAGCCTCAGCTATCACAAGTGGTTGATCCTTTGGAGACTGAACAATCAGAAGTAGATGCGGTTGATGAAGAAGAAGATGACGAGTTGGAGTTTGACGAAATGGTCAATGATGATTCCGAAGACGATGGGATACCTGGTATTTCTGCAAACGAGATCTACACACTACTTCCGCACATGACAAACTTCAACATGAGCGGAGATGAACCGTCTTCTGATTTATTTTTCAATCCGTATATGCAGTCGGTTGAAAACTTAAAAGAGAAAGATAAATTTCGTAACAGAGAAGAATGTATCAGAGCCATCAGAAAATTCTACATGTTCAACTCGGTCGATTTTAAGGTGGACCGTGTAAATCCAGAAAGGTACAAGATCAAGTGTGTCCACTTTGATTGTATGTTCAAGCTCACTGCATCATACATATTAAGAGGTGATTGTTGGATCATAGGTTCCATGTCTACCCACACTTGTGTCAGTTCTACTCAATCACAGGTTCATCGAAAACTTAATTATGATCTCATTTGTCAAGAAATTCTACCACTCGTCAGCAACGATCCATCTTTGAAGGTGAAAACCATAATCTCCCATATAACTACGGTATTCCCATATAACTACGGTATTTAACTATACTCTGTCTTATCGAAAGGCGTGGTTAGCAAAAACTAAGGCGATTGAAAAGGTATATGAAAACTGGGAGGAGTCATACTAAGAACTTCCTCGCTACCTGAATGCACTCCAGACTTATTCTTCGGGTACTGTTTACATTCTGGAAACAGTGCCAGCATATGTCCCGGATGATAGTCAACTCAACGGAAATGGAATATTCAGTCGAGTGTTTTGGGTTTTTCAACCTTGATGGGACTTGGTTGTATGGGAAATACAAAGGCACGCTACTGGCAGTTGCACAAGATGACAACAACAACATTTTCCCAATTGTCTTTGCCCTAGTCGAGGGGGACACTGGTGGTGCTTGGAGCTTTTTTCTCAAAAATTTGCGAACACGCGTGGCTCCTCAACCAGATCTCTGTTTGATCTCGGATAGACATGTATCCATTGAAAGTGCATACAATAATCCTACAAACGGTTGACATGACTCTCTTCTATGCATGTCTATTGCGTTAGACATGTCGTCCAAAATTTCATGAGGAGATCAAAGACAAAACATTTAGAAAAGCGGTTATGAATGCGGGATATGCATTGACACAACCTACGTTCAAATATTATCGTAACGAGATCCGTTTGTCAAATCTGGAAGCCGGTAGGTGGATCGACAATATTCCGGTAGAAAAATGGACTAGGTCATACGACAATGGCCAAAGATTGGGCCACATGACAACAAATCTAATTGAATCGATGAATGAGTATTCAAAGACATACGAAACCTCCCGGTCACTGCTTTGGTAAAATCAACATATTTTAGAATGACTTCGTTGTTTACCACGAAACCTCCCGGTCACTGCTTTTATAAAATCAACCTATTTTAGGATGACTTCGTTGTTTACCAAAAGAGGTGAAATATGGAACGCGGTGTTGCAATCTGGACAACTATGAAGTGAAAGCTGCATGAAGTACATTAAGGCAGAAAGTGCCAAAGCCAACACCCATATGGTTATACGGTTTGACCGACACAGTCACAACTTCATTGTCAAAGAGACAATCGACCACAACGAGGACCTGCCAAGACAAGAATATAGGGTTGTACTACCTTCTCGTTGGTGCGATTGTGGTAAGTTTCAAGCATTTCGTATGCCTTGCTCTCATGTCATTGCCGCGTGTGTCTATACTCATCAAGACGCGCTACAACTTCTGTCACACATTTACAAATCTGAAACGTTGCTCAACGTTTACAACAAAAGCTTCCCTTTGGTAGCAAAATCAGATTATTGGTCTGCATACGACGGCGAAATAGTATGACACAATGACCAAATGCGAAGGAATAAAAATGGTCGTTCCAAAAGTAAGCGCATCACAACCAAAATGGACTCCCTTGACAAGCTGGAAAGAAAGTGTGGTTTATATCGTCAGGTCGGACACAATTGTAAAAATTGTCCGAATCGGGCTACTGCCTCAACCACGTAAAATTTGTATTACATAAAATCTTTCTTTATTATGTTGTAAACATTAGGGTTTTTCGTTAACAGTATTTGTTACAATAAATATTGCGCGAACAAGATAAAAAACACAATAATCCGTCTACAAAATTACAACTGTTAAAACAATATCATCTGACCAACCAAACATTAGGTCTTCCTGTCGCAAGTGAGATTGCTGTTCGTCTTCGCTGGATCCTCGCATCAACTTCCGCTTCAGACGCTCCATGGAGTGAATGTGCCAGAATTTCATTTTTATCGGAGGTTTTGTGGCGGAGAAGATAACGTAACCATCTCTGGTAAAAATCATGGGCGATGTCATGACGCAAATAACAGAATAAAAAATAAGAAAACAGTGCGAGAAAGTGTGAGAAATGACGGAGAAATAGACGAATTATATAAAAATAACATTTTGCCCTAGGAGTCAAGTGAGATGACCCCTCTTCTCACTTTTAAAGTGCATGTGCCATCTCACTTGGCTAAAAGAGAGAGGAGGCGCCAAGTGGGATGGCACCTAGGGCATAATGCTTAGTGGAGGCGCCAAGTGAGATGACTCCTCTTTTGGAGAGTCATATGAAACATGGTTATTTGTGTAATTTTTTCTGAAACATGATTATTTGCGAGATTTTTTTTAATACATGGTTATTCCAAAAAAAAATCCACCCATTGAACATACATAACTTACAGATTCTACGGGTTAGCATTCCATGGTTTTCTAGTTATTGTTGGATTTCAAGATATTTTATCTAATTTATATATAGGAATATACAGAGCAAGGGACATATATCAAGGCTCATGTGCCCCTACGTTTTGCAAGATTGCTTACACCTATGAGGCAACTGTGTATATCACGACCTTGACTTTCTTACACATGGTATATAATGATTAATACAGTTTAGCATCAGTTATTTTTTAGGCCATGGGTGAGAAACACTTGGCTTGCACCATAATAGGTCTCATGTAAAGCTGTACATATGTAATTATTGAAGTTGAAATCAGATTAGCAAGCCCTTGAAAATGTTGAAACCTTGAAGGATAGCAATGCACAGTTTATCTTACATATTCAACTCAATGCTTTGTTTTTAAACAACATTTAATTACTAACATAACATGTTCTGTAAAATTCCTGAGATAGTATTGTATTTTTGCATTTAAATAGGAAACTTAGAACCTATTTTATGGCCAAAATAAGAGTAGGGTATGGTAACAGTATAATATCATGTCTCATTTTAATGTTGAGTAAACCATCAAATAGGTAGATAAGTACTTATATTATCTATATTATATCCTATCTTTATCCACCAATGTGTAGTGGCTTTTTGTAATTCTTCTTAGACTTAGACTACTTGTAATGGGGTGTTGAATAAATTTTTCAATAGTTGAATTGCTCCAATGGATTGTTGAATAAGGTGTTGAGTATGACATGAATTAATTTGTGTTGAAAACATTCAACATGTTGAATGGGAAATGAGTGAGGGCTACTTATAAGACTATCTACAATGGCAAAATTATTCAATACTCATTTTTTTCATTTTTTACACTCCACATCATCTTCTCTCTCTTCCACCTAATAATTCAACACCCATTCAACTTTTACTCACTACAATGATTTTGTTTAATAAAATTTAACACTTTATTCCACCACTTTTATTTCATATTTTTATTTTCTTTTTTATATTTTTGTTTTTTTATTATATATTAATAATAATTATCAATTGAAATTAAATTAAAATAATTAAGAGTTAAATAATTTATTTTAATTTTTTCTCTAATTTTATATTCGTAATTACAAAAAACATAAAATACAATACAATACACACAACATACTTAAAATGAAACACACATAATTTAATTAGTACAATAGACTTAACTCACAAAGAATCTATTTAATCACGAAACATTCTAAACTTTACCTATATATATTTGACTAGATCTGCTTGTAATTCGTGATGTACATTTGAATCACGCATCATAGATCTAGCACACACATGATTTGCAAATGCAGGTAGCATCTCAGTCGAGAATGGCTCCGGTGTATCAGACCCATTTGTTTCAGATTGATCGTAATCTGTCCAATGTTGAGAATATGTATCTCTTTCATCCTCAACAATTATATTATGCAAATGATACATGACCTCATGATGAGAGCCAAATCGGCTATGTTCCACAAATGGGCTGGTTCGCGAATGATTTTAAATCGAGCCTGCAACACTCCAAATGCATGTTTGATGTCCTTCCGACATCCCTCCTGATATTTTGTAAATAACTTATCTGGTTCACTTTGAGGGAGTCTAATTGATTTGACGAAAGTCGGATAAGAAGGGTAGATACCGTTAGCAAAATAATATGCCATATTATACAGACGTTGATTCACAAAGAAGTTCACTCTTGTAATGATTTCTACATGCAACTCCATCACGGGGGATCAAATGAGCAATGCTCATTACGGTAATAAGCAATTTTACCTCAATATTCCAAATTTTGATCAGTGGTCTATTTGGGGTTTTTCCGACGAACATGAGTTGAATCCTCTGCATTTGGAGTGACTCCATGATCACTGCTCATGCCACCAAGAGCCGTTTGTGTAGAAAAATCAGGAAATTCATCATGTCCAACATTAGGAATATTTTCATTTCCCATTAGAGTAGAAGAATAATAAGGTAGTGTTTGAGATGAATATGACATCATAGATCCATAATATAGACGATAGTTTGAATTAGATGACGGCACTATGAAATTTGGTATATTTTGGGGATCTTGTTGGTTGGAAGATTGATTTTGAAATATGTAGTTGAGATTTGGGTAGTTGAAAGGATAATTAGTAGAATTTTAGGTGTTAAGAGGGTTATTGTCGAGATTCATTTCATTAAAAAGTTGTTTAGAGCTACCAACAATAATTTATTGGAGACTAAATAGAAAAATTATAGAGAAAAAATAGATTTTTTTTTGTTCAAATCAAATGAACAGACAAAAAAAAAAGGATGAATTTTGGTGAAAATAAAAAAAATAAAAAATTGATTTTCTATAAAATAATTGACTTCAAATAATTTAGGTGATATAAGAATATAAACAATCACAACAACCAATTATATTTTGCAAAGGCCTAAGTTTTGTTTGGAGTTTAGAGGAAAAAGGAAAGAAAGACTTCTGAAAATGAATTTTTAAAAAAATATAAAAAAATATTTTTTAATTTTAAAAAAAATAATTTTGTATAGGATGATAAAAGAGTGTTAATCATTACTATATTTTTAATTTTCATAATACTATATTAACATAAAATATATTTGGAAAATTTATGTAAGCTCTCAAAAATCTTTTTTCGGTACAAATTTTGAATTCTTCAAATTAGAGAATTTTTAGAATTATGAATAAAAACAAACTCTCTAAAATCCTTCAATTTTTTCACTCAATTCTTTTTTTTTAATTTTAAATCATCTCGTCTCTTCCTTTTCAAAGTCTTGGACTTTTTTTAAAAATATCACACATTTCAATATATAGATGTAACTCTTCAAAGCTTTCTTTTTTAAAATCTTTCAAAAAAACTAACTCGCAAAAGAACCCTTGATGTTCTGTATGGTAATCTATTTAAGCATTGACTTGTGTTTCCCTTGAAGCTACCTATTATAGTATAAGATTATCATATGTTTCACTTGTATTTCCCTTGCGTTGGGTTATCCACGTATTTCGAGATAGGATATGATAAGAGTTTTACACTACCTATTTAGATAGGATATGATAGAGTTTCACACTAGCTATTTAATGCTGGATTATGCACATGTTTCACATGAAATCTCTCACTTTAGATGTCATATGTGATATTATGTTCAACTTACCAATTTTAATATTGTGTTAAGAGATTATCTAATGTATGTTGGATCACATGTTATAGGATACTTGGATTACACTCTAAATATTCAATCATAGCCATTGATATGTTGGATCTCCTGTTATTAAGATACTCAGATTACACTCTAAATATTCAATCATAATCATAGACATGGGGAGGAGTGTTTAGAGTCTCGGATCACAATTATCGAGTAAAGCTCTAGATGCCCGGTTCTGCTCATGGAGTGTTTTAAAACTCACATTAGAATTTGATACGCAAAGTACGTTTTCAAGAGGGACAGTCTTAAGTTAAGCCGGGTTCCATGAAAAACAAACATGCATTAAAGAGACTGTTTAAATGATTGGGGCAAGATTTAATACATTTTACAAAATAGTTTTTTACGGGAATAATAACAAAATAGGTATAATATTCAAATTTCAAAACTGGGAGAAACTTTTTAATGTTTAGTCATGCCTTAGTTTCTTGTTTAAAGCAACAAAAGCTGAAACTAGAGAGGCAATAGAGCTAGAAAAATAAACTTAGACGATCCGAAAATAAACTTTTAAAATTTAATATATCGACATACATGATAATATTGAGTATTAAGTTCATTCGTGTATGAATTTCTTCATGGAACCACTGATTGAATTGAACCCCACAAAGATTGTATTTGGTTCTACGACCAAGTCATAAATCATAACCGTATCAGCTATGAGGCTGAATGGTGTTCACATTCTAGTTATTCTGTATGTGGAATGCTACTTATCTTCCTTTCTTATATCTCAAAAAGCAATCACACAAAAACAAGTAAATGTTAATCTTAAAACACAACTATCTAACGCGGTTTCTCACCATTGCAAATGAATTCTGCACTGTTTTGATCCGGTCATGGAGCAGGTAAACCAAAAGCACTATCAGAACTAAAACACATTGCGTCACATGTGGGCCAAGAACACAACATGTTGATAAAGTCACGAGTTTAGTTGACACATTAGGTGGTTTGTTGAAGATACTAACTAGTGTGAGTGGTTTCATCCTTTTCTTTAGCACTATATATAGATATTAAACAATCCAATCCAACAGGACACAGAATATTGATAATCATGTCTCTCATCAAACTCGTTCTCTTCCTAACATTTTTCCTCTCATTTACATTCTCTCATGCTCATCCTCCAGGCTTCAACTTTGGCTGGGGTGGTCATCATCATCATGGTGGAATGTCCTTTGGTCTTTCTCCTCAATTCTATCAGTTTTCATGTCCTCAAGCTAATGACATTGTCATGTCAGTCTTGGAGAAGGCCATTGCTAAAGATATCAGAGTAGCCGCTTCTCTTCTTCGACTTCACTTCCACGATTGCTTCGTCCAGGTAAACTAATTACAAACATAATATCAATACATGTCCAAAAATAGTTCTTCGACCGCAACCTCACTCACAACATTAAAGTTCTTTTTAATGTTTTCGCAACTTCATCAGACTCGTTTAACCATATTTTTATATTATCAAAAATTGTGACCGCAAGTAAAACCATACAATCATATCGAATGAAATCAGTTTTTGCATCTAAGGTGTTCTCTTTGATGACAGGGTTGCGACGCGTCAATTTTGTTGGATGATAGTGCGACGATTGCTAGTGAAAAAAATGGAGGGCCTAATAAAAATTCCCTTCGAGGTTTTCAAGTGATTGATGAGATCAAATCTAAATTGGAACAAACATGTCCTCATACGGTCTCTTGTGCAGACATTGTTGCACTTGCTGCTAGAGGATCCACTGTCCTTGTAAGAAAAATACATACACGACTCAAATTGAAATGACCACCTTTTACGTATTTGCATGTCACATAATACATGCTTAAATAAGTTGATAATCTAAGAAATTAACTTAGAAACGATTTGACTCGAAATAGTTACCTAAAAACGTAAAATCATATGATTTGACAAGTTAAAACTCGATTTTAACAACTTTACTTAATTTGAAACTTACACTATTTTGAAACAGAGTGGAGGACCTAATTGGGAGTTACCTTTAGGAAGG